AACGAACCGCTGTATGAGATTCAAATCATGACTCTGTCCATGTGACAATCTCATGCGGGTCATCCAGTCACTCGTTCATAACGAGTACCCATGATTGTGATATGCATCCAATGCATCGATCACTCCTCATGCTAGTCTTAATTCAACATTGTTCCCACAATGTTGACTGACTAGGGAGTTTAGAATCATTCGCTAATGATTCAAGGATGCCGAAATATAACAAACATGCCAATCATATAACGGGAATGTAATGCATTCATAAATCAATGAATCAATACAAAGTCAAAATGTCATATTACGGATTATCCTAGAGCATTACAACCAACACATACATCGATAAGGTCTCGAAATGGTTCAAGATGCAAGATTCCAAGAAAGGAACCTTACCGAAGAGCAGTGACACAGTTCTCTGCAAGAGTCAGTGTCCTACGACACCTGATGAGCGAGAACGCATGGATCGTATTCCATATGCTTCGGCAATTGGATCGATCATGTATGCAATGCTTTGTACTCGACCGGATGTATCCTATGCGTTAAGCATTACGAGTAGATACCAGTCAGATCCAGGTGAGTCACACTGGATCGCTGTTAAGAACATCTTGAAGTACTTGAGAAGAACTAATGATGTGTTCTTGGTATACGGTGGATTGGAAGACGAGCTCGCTGTAAAGGGTTACACCGATGATAGTTTCCAATCAGACCCGGATGACTACAGATCGCACTCTGGCTATGTTTTTCTGCTTGAATGGAGGCGTTGTTAGCTGGAAGAGTTCCAAACAAGCGACCGTTGCAGATTCTACTACAGAAGCTGAGTATATTGCAGCGTCGGACGCAGCAAAGGAAGTTGTTTGGATCAGAAAGTTTGTTAGAGATTTTGGTGTCATTCCTAGTGCTGGTAGCCCCATTGCTCTGTATTGTGACAACAATGGAGCGATCGCACAAGTGAAAGAACCCAGATCCCATCAACGATCCAAACACGTACTTAGACCGTTTCACCTTATCAGGGAGATCATAGATAGAGGAGACGTTCACATTTGCAGAGTGTCGACAGATGACAACATTGCCGATCCATTGACGTAGCTTCTCCCTTCGTCGAAGCATGAGGGTCATGTTAGGGATATGGGCATTAGATGTTTAGCAGTCCATGATTAGAGCAAGTGGGAGATTGTTGGTTTAGTGATATGGGCATTAGATGTTTAGCAGTCTATGATGTACTGTTTTGCGAGCTTTATTTATAGATATATTTGATATATTGACACTTTCTATGAGTTTATGGATGAGTGTTTGATTCATTACGTATTGTGCATACTTGATATTTATGAAATCCATGTATTGTTATGAACAATACTAAACTCCCTAGTCATGTATCATTATGGGAATAATGATATACTAAGACTAGTATGATGTGTGATTGATTATCATAGGTATTGGATATGATCACAATCATAGGTATTCGTTGGAGAACGGAATACTAGATTGACCTGCATGAGATTGTCACATGGACTAGCATCATGACTTGAATCTCATATGACGGTTCCATGATTGGATCCTAAGACCTGAGATATCTACGGAATCTAACATGAGGAGATGGTACTTTGAATACGTCAAACGTCCTGCGTAATAGGAGGACTATAAAGACGTGTATCATGTACGAAACGAATCATGTGTTGGATTGTAGATAGTCAAGATGGGATTTGTACCTCTCGTATCGCTGGGCCCCTCGTGTGAGCGAGACTGTAGAAATGTGCGGCCGCACTATAGACGAACGTCGTCTATTTCACACAGTCAAACTCAGTGAATGAGAAAGCAGTCGAATCAGATAAGGTGGCTTGTCCATGCCTTATGTTCAACATATGATATTACGATACAAAAGGATCATCAGTCGGAATCATCACTGGCGTTCGTAAGATCACGAACAAAATCTATTCGAGATAGGTAGTCATATTGTATTGTTAGAGACCGCCTATGACTTGTATATCCGTAATAGAGATTACGGGTTATACTGCTATATCGAATAAGCCTACAGGATCACACACACAGGAAGGACAAAACGCACGAGTAAAAGACGAAAAAACCGAGTCAGAAGGGTCCAGACCGGACGGACCGGAACGTCCAGACCGGACGATCCGACAGTCCAGACCCGACGGTCCAGAATCGTGGTCCGTCTGTTCCGTAGTCTGGAACAGACGGTCCATATGATGCAGACCGTCCGGTCTACACCTGGAACGGACGGTCCGCATGCAAATCCAGACCGTTCGTTCCAGGCTTCAGGTTTTTCGAAAATTAGACCGAAATTAGAGTTAAATCACCTTATAAGAAGGAGATTAAAACCCTAGCTAAAGAAAAGACTTTCTGACCCGTCTTGGTGTGACTTTGAGAGCTTTTGGTGAGATCCAAAGAGTTCTAAGAGTGATCTAAGTCTCGTTTTTACGAAGCACAAAACCGAATAGTTGATTCGGGCCTAGCAGACAAGTTCTAATCGTTGGAATCCATCCCGAGGTGTGGATACGTGTAGAGGGCGAGGTAATCTTCCTACCTTAAGTGATCGAACGAATTCTTCAGTTGATACAGGTCCCTGATCGATCGAGGTAAGCGTTCTAACGTTTCTACGTAAGCATGCATTCATGGTTCTAGGGTTTCTTCAAATTTTTGTTTTACATCCGTTGCGCAAACCCTAGAATCGATCTCTTAGGAATAGGATTCGTTCTAGAGATCACAGGAAACCCAACAACATCTATGTACCTTGTCGGCTTGAGATGTGGATGAAGGATCCAACATTTATCGCGAACATTGCCTGATTTCTTGCATTGATCGCACATCAGCCCTCATCGGTCTCCATCACGCTCACGAACATGATCAGAATCATGGCTCCGCTCGCGACTATTCGTGTGACTTGGAGAGCAAGGACTTGGACCTCTGCAGAAGTGCGCCATCTCACTAGGCATTGCAAAAAGGTTGCGTCCAGCTTCTTCTCTTTTTAACATCATGCATACCTCATCATATTTGGCCAACGATCTTGACGGAGTATATGGTAGATCAAGTCATTGTACGATCCATCCAAGGCGAAGAGAATAGAGAATACTTTGTCTTCCTCCAACCTATCTTTGAAAGCTTTGAGATTCACCATGGGTGGACGTAACTCTTTCAATTCAGTCCACAATGCACTAAATTCTCCGTGGATGACATTGAATGACTTACCGTTCTGTTGCAAGGTAAACATCCTTTTCTTAAGTTCAAATATGCGACATAGGTTCGTCACATTACCGAAAATATTTTGTAATGCCTCCCATAGCTCCTTTGTCGTTTCCGATGCTATGAACGACTTGAGGATTTTGGAGGCCAAGGAGCTTTGAAGAATTGCCAAGGAAAGGTTGTCTTCTTGAACCCACTTGTTGTTCTCGGCAATTTGACGTGCAATAATCTTAGCGTTTGCAGTTTGATCGACGTCAGTTTCAGCATATGCCGCTTGATTCTCATCCGAGTTTGTGGCTTGCGTTTTGTGATGTGATCCCAAAGGCCACTACTCTTATGGATGGCCTTAGTTGCTTTCGACCAATAAAAATAGTTTTCTCCCGTTAAAGTGATGGGGATAAGCTTCCGGCAACGTTCTCCATTGCTTAAGGCGAAAAATGAAGGAAATCTGGTTTGTGGGTTTAAGATTGACTTGTTTGAACAGATTTCGGTATTCTTAACCAATCAGATTCTGATACCATGAAAAAATCTCAATGAAAATATAAGCAACGAACCGAAACGACGTGAAAACAAATAAGCTAGCTATCGGTTTAATGGAGATTCGATGCAGAAGATTTCAGAAGTGAGAGACAAAGAGAAGGGATCAGAAAGAATATACACACTTGTCTTATTCTGCATGCCTTCTCTGTACAAAAGAAGATTTTTCTATATACTAAATGGTAGAAACATTAAAGTAATGGAAAGTAAAGATTTATAAACAAGTATATGGTAAGAACATGTGAGGAAAATGGAAAGATTCAATTCTCATATAGATTGTCCACGGTTTGATCTTCCGGATGTGAACATTGACTCCAGTCATTCTCTCCTAAAACTCCTCATAATTATCACGTGTAATATGCTTCAATATGTCTTGTCTTTAAATTATTTGTAGCTGAAGTTACCAAGTTACCGTCATGTCTTCATGTCGAATTTGGGTCTTCGAGTCTCGGTTTGATGTTTACTCTTTCATGTTCCTCTACAGATAGCAGCATACCGATGGATGCATTTCTAGAACCAAACAATGGAATTGCCAATTGACAACTTCGATGGTTCTTTTTTTTTTTGTAAGTCGGGTTTCCCAGGCCCAAAAGCCCAGACTAATCTCGGCCCACGCATGCGAACCTGCAACACATACGTGGGTCGTGGGTGTAAATCGGTCAAAACCGGCAGACGGAAAAAAAAAATTCGATGGTTCTTTTAAAGAAATCTTAGGTATTGAGGTTAGATATGTTTTATAAAATATGCGAATTTATGATAATATTTGAAAAGATCGTATATTTTGATAGAAACTTCAAAATTGATTTATTTATATGGAAGTTTTCTGAAAGGTTAGTATTTTTTTAAACGATTTTCTCGAAAAAGGTAATGGGCATCATCTTTATTACACCAAATTAGTTAAATCCAAGTCGAATATTAAAAAAATTTGGTTTTTAGAAACCGCATAATTTTCTTAGTATATAAAGCAAACTCAAACAAATATAAAAATCAAATATTCATTATTTTTCCCAAAAAAAAATACAGAACCAAAAAAATAAAATATCCTAATCCTGGCCTTAATCTCTCTGCTCCCAGTTGAAACACCCGATAATCTCGCCATATATAAATGTCGTTTGGTAAACTACACAATCAATCATAAATGTAATATTAAACGAAGGAATCCATAAATACATTTCATATTATTGATTGCGACAACAAGATAACATTATAAAATCCAATGTGAAGATTCACGTGGAAACAACAATAATTGTATTCGATTTTTTTTTTTTTTTTGTGGCAATGGTAAATGTATTAATAATCAAATAATAAAAGCGCCCTCTTCGGGAGCTTCAATGCAATTTTATAGAGAAAACGTGAAGTTCACCAACAATGTCTTCTAAGGACCATAGTCTCTGTCTCTTTGCTCTCTTCGTCTTCTACTTCTTCGTCTCTTCAGGGTTCCTGTCTGTGTCGTCTTTGCCTTCGGACATCAATCTCGAACCCGCCATTAGAGTCAGAGGAATCAACCGGAGAGGAGGAGGTCCGTACATCGGCCTCGTGACCGTCATCGAAACCGAGGAAGACGCGTTTTTGGGCAGTGTGGATTTCAGACCCGACCCTTTTCGCCCTTTTGTCGATCTCTCTGGTACGTTAATCGATCGCGCAAGTTTTGTTCATGCCGTTTTCCGTTTAAAAGCAGCGTGATTTTTTTGGTATACTTCGAGGAAGGTTCCTTCAGACTGAAAATTTTGATATCGTTCTCGAATTGAATCTTTTAGAATTTTCGAACGGTATTTTGTTTAGTGAACCAAATTTTCAAAAAATTCTGAAAAATCGAAAATTTCTTAAAAATATAATTTATTCATAATAAAAACCGAAATCGAAAAGAACTAAAATCAAACGAAATATGATATAATAATCGGTTGAGATATATTAGTAGTCTCCTTTTTTGTGTGGACATGAATTGGTGTGGTGGGGCCGGATTCGCATTTATTATCTGAAAAATAGGGGTCCATATTTTAGATGATGTATAGAAAATCAAATGTAACAAAAACGAATGGTATATATATATATATAATTGTATTTGAATCGAATTCGATATAAATTAATCAAAAAAGCAATTAGTCGCAACAACAAAAAAATGGAACAAGACGAATTTTTTTTTTTTATTATAATAAAAATCGAACGAAATCAGAACATAACCGAAACCCGAGACGTCCATAGCCGTAACACTGTTTTGCTCTAGAGCATCGAAACATACGTTTTCAGGACGACGTTTTCGGATCGGGAAGATTCACGGGAAGAACGTGGTGTACGTGAGATGCGGGATCGGATTGGTAAGCCGTGTTTTCGGTCTTACCGATTCGGACAAAAAAAAATCTACGTTTCATATAACGTTTTCGCGGGGAAAAAAACATGGGTGTAGGTTAACGCAGCAATGGCGACGCAGCAGATGATAGATGCGTTTAGGGTCAAAGGAATCGTACATTTTGGAATCGCTGGGAATCTGAACAACTCAATGTCCATTGGAGATGTCACCATCCCCAAGCAAATTGCGAGCGTCGGTTTGTGGGATTGGTTGGTATGTTACATATGTATACATACATACATATATATCTATATCATTAACTGTGTTTAATGGACTAAATTGGAAATCAAACGATAAGATCTAAATATGGAAACCTAACTAACTATCTAATGATCCTTAATCTTTTAACTGATCGATACAGAATCCAGGCAAGACAGATGGAGGTCAAGATGTTGCGTTCCTAGACATTGGGAGCTACAGTGTCCCCCAAGGAGATGGGAGCGTTAATGAGTTAGGAACCATCAGATACAATTACGAGGAACTGTATTCAAAATCAGGCAAAACTAACACTCCTCAAAAAAAATTTTGGATCAACACAAATTCACAATGGCTTCATCTTGCTTCCGATCTCGAGGTTCTGAGAGACGATTTAGACCCTTCATCTGCCCGTTTCTTCGGGTATATTTCGAACATTTCAGCTCTCGGGTTTTGATTTTTTTTTTGTTTGGTGTTCAGGGAATGGAGCTGTTGCAGTGCGTGAATTCGAGTTTGTGTCTCCCCCAGAAGCCCAAACTTGTCGTCGGGTTAAAGGGCGCAACGGCTAACGTATTCGTGGACAATGCGGCTTATAGAAATTTTCTGTATAACACATTCGAGGTTTCGTCATCTGACATGGAGAGTTCAGCCGTCATGATGGTAATGAGCCGTAAAATGTGATGCATGCGGTCAAGTTCATGTTATCACATCTATGTATTGTTACCAAACTCGTGTTGGTTTTACGTTGTCCAGACGTGCGCGTCGAACGGATACCCTGTCATCGTCATTCGTGGGTTGTCGGATTTAGCCGGAGCTCAGTCGGGAGATAACACGGTTCGAAAGTTTGGGTCTTTAGCTGCCACGAACACCGCAAGAGCCGTGCTGGGATTTATCAAGAAGCTGTGAATTCAAAGTTTATAAGTTCGATACTCGGTCTAGGAAGATAATTCTAAATCAAAAATGTATTATTTTGATGGCTTGTGTTTTGTAATTTGTGATTTGTAAGAGGAACAAAACATCAAAGTTGCTTGTTACATAAAATAAATATATATATATATATATATATATATATAAAAGTTTGTATGTTACGAGTTTAAAATTATCATATGGTTGATAAGGTACTCTAATCAAATATTTGATCTTATATCAAATCTCTTAATAGAATGATACACTAAAATAAATTCTATCAATAGAATTTGAAGATAAATCATCCAAATCAATTTGTTCAGATGTTGAAGGTCAACTAACCTAAAAAATATTTTCCAGTTGAAATTTTACCATTATCTTGAAATATTAATGCAAAATTTCTTTTGAGAAATTTGTTTATACAATATTAAATAAAATATATAGAATAATAAATTTATAATTATGATCAAAATATAGAAATATATGAACAAAGATAAAATAATAAAAATTGAAATAAAAATCATAATATTTCTATACTTTTTAATTTGTTTACTCTTAATTTTTTGTATTTGATTATAATTGAATACCGTCAAATCATCGTCATATATATAAAAGTAGAGTTCACTTGAGGACGGCTGGACACGTGTCCTTTATTATTTTTAAAATTAGTTTAAATTTAATTAATTAAATTAAACTCATTATTGATTTGAATAATATTTAATGAGAAATTAATGATATAAATATTGTGCAGAAAATGATGCAATCAATTAAAATCATATATATAAAAGTAGAGTACACTTGAGGAGGGTTTGACATGTGTCCTTTATTATTTTTAAAATTAGTTTAAATTTAATTAATTAAATTAAACTCATTATTGATTTGAATAATATTTAATGAGAAATTAATGATATAAATATTATGCAGAAAATGATGCAATCAATTAAAATTACAGTTAACATTGACAATTTTTTTTGTCAAATTAAAAAAGATGTATGTTATTAGAGAGAGAATGAAAGAGAGTTTTTTCAATTAAAAGTAAAGATCTATACATGCAATAATTTTATTGTATTCACCCAATTTTTCTACATTGAATTTGGTTCGGTGAAATTTCTTTTTAAATTTTGATAAATATTTATTGTGATTCACTGATTCTTTTATCATTCATCAATTTTTTGAATTAATTTATTTATATAATTTTATGATTCTTTGTATGTATCTAAATTAAAATTCTATATATATTAAAAAAATTCTATATGGAGAATGGGAATTTGAATGAAGATACAAAGTGAAGAGAGTTTGATCGTTCGAAAAGAGTGATTCCAGTGTCCAATTGCTTGGTCCATTTCAACTATGGTATAATTCTCTCTACAACCCGTGATTTCTCAAAAGGTAACCACAAGAATTCCCCCATTTTCTATGGCAATTGATTCTTTCTTGTTAAATCTTTTATGTTTTTTCCTGAATTTTTATGTCTAAATTAATATTTTTATTCTTGGAATGTATTATCTGTGTTATGCTTGATCTCTCTAAACTTTGAATCAAGATTGAAATGGCAAAGTTCATGGCTTTGGTTTTTAATTCACGTGCTTTATTCTCTTGAAATGGATAGGGAGAGTTCTTGGAAGAGGAGCTTGCAGTTAGTTACAGATAAACAAAGGTAACAACATTAAAAAGAATCAACAACGAAATTCAGATAAACGGGAAGATTTTTATGCAGATTTTTTTGGGTTCGAGTAAAGAGGACGATTTGAACGGCGAGAGAGGAGAAACGACGGAGCTTCGAAGGAAGGGAAGAACTCTAGAGACAAATTGGGTCTGGTGGATCCGAGGAATGACTTGGAAGTGAGAGAGGACACCATTGCCAATGATTGATAAAAAAAAAAAAGGAAGAAGATGCAGGAGGAGTTTTAATGGAGATCGGAGTTGGTGGGTCTTAAAAAGTTAATGGGTTTATTTACAATCACATTTAACCAAAAAAAAAAGTTGATGGGTTTGTGATTTTTGGAGTCGTTTGTCTTTGTGAGCAAATCCTCCACCTAACCTTTTCATTCGACAGATACGAAATATATTAATATATATATATCTATATATATATATATAATAATTAAATTGAATACAGATTTAATTTAAAATACTTTATCAAGTACAAATTTTAGAAACATAGTATCTAAAATAACTTATCGGTATATGCATCTTTGCATTATCAAAGATAATATTATTTATAAAGTATACATTGAAAAAACTAAAATAATATCAGTAGATATGCTATATACTGACCTTAAATTTAAAAAGTGGCTAGCAGTTATCGCTAATTCTATTAGGAAATGAATTAAATATTATTACTTCTTAATTTAAAAAGTTTATTATGCAATAATTACTGGAAAAGCAAAATTAATGGATTTATTAAATCTTCAAATAAATATTAAATTGGTTTTTTATTTTAAATCACATTTATAAGATACAAACTTTATGTAATTCACTTTGTTGGTCAATTGGTTATATCATAGTTTATAAAAAATATTAAGAACGTATAGTATAACGAGAATAAAAGACTAAATCTTTAAACCTTCTAACAGATATCACATATGGCTGCATTTTTTCCTATTATACACATATATACACATATATATTAATATATAGATTTTTTTTCATGTATCGATTTCTCTACCCAAATGGATATATATAGTTAAAATCTTAGATTTACCATAATCACAATATTTTTAAATCAATAAATAAAGAAATTATTAGAGATTTAAAATGGAAATTGGACCATCGAAATATAATAGTAAAAAATTGAAAGACATTGAATATTAAATTTACGAAAAAATTCAAGAATAAACGGGTAAAAAAGTTTAATCTCATATTAGAAAATCAATCGAATATATAAGATAGAAAAAAACAAAGCAAAACAAAAGTAACATAAGAAATTTCTAAAGTTCCAAAAATCCAAATCTCTAATATAACTTTGAATGCTAACACAACACTCAAAAAATCAAATGAGATTTTTTGTGTTATGGGGGATTTTTTTGTGTGTATTTTATATTTTAACTTTATGATATTGAAATTATTCATCATGTTCTTAAACATTAAACGTTTTTCAAAAATAGAATTTAATAATTTTATATTTAGTTGTAAATTTGAAAATGTATAAAAATTTAGATGGAAAAATATATACATAATATCAATTAATAATATCGGTTTAAATCTTTACATTCGACCGGCTTAGTTTTAATATTAATTTACTTACCGAAATTATAATCAAAATTAAAGTTTAATCACAAATTATATATTGTATCAATGACAATGATTTTCATAAAGAAGATTTGAGTATACATCTTAATTTGACTATATTAATTATATTAACATTTAAATATATTTATCCATTATATTTTATTTTTTTTCTATTCGCTAGCAAATTAATGTACTCTAATTATAAAGATACTTTACCTTACCAAATAAAATCTGTTCAAAATACTTTTTTTCTCTCTAATGTAAGGTCAATAATATAGGTTGTCTATTATTTTATTTTTTTGTAGAATAAATATCTTTTATAAAAAATAAATCAACTTAAAAATATCAAATAAATATACAAATTTCACTACTATTATTAACATTTCATTTTTTTAATATCATTAAGATATGATAAATAATTTTTTACAATATGTTAGTATATATATAATATGCCAATCATATTCCAAGTTGATCCGAAAATAATGCCATCGTATTTCACGCACAACTCTGTCCGTCAATAAGTGGCCGAGACAGATAAAATGCCTCACCACCACACGCATGATAAACCCCTACCAACTATCTTTCGGGTACAACATATCATTTAAAAAAAATATATATCATAAATAATTTAGTATCATTTAGTATCAAGGATTGAAATGTTGAATAACGAAATAATGATTTTAGAAATTTTGCGATTCGATAAAAGAGTTTCATTTTTTGCGTATCCAGCAGTCTCTAAAGAATATGATTATTAAATTCTGGTAAATATAGTCTTAAACAATAATAAAAATTTAGTTGGTGTTAGGACCAAAATATATTATATTTAATTTAAAAAATAATAATTTTTTAAAAAAATTATACGTATTTTTTGGACGTTTCATGTATATAAAGTAGAGTAGATTAACGTAGGAGTGACAAGTGTTTCATTTTTTCATTAAATATATTTTTATATATTTATTATTTAATAATTCTTTAATGTAGATAAATTTTGAAAAAGTTATTCATTCTTAAACTTTTAAACTATTAAATAAGAGAAGAACAAAGTCATTATGTGAGTCCTAATTAAGTAAACTAAGACTAATTTATTTATGATTGTTAAGACATCGAATGATTTTCTCTATCAGTTAAGTTTATTATTAAATAGTTGATTTAGTTAGAGTGATTTTCTCTTTTATTAAATAGTAATTATTTCAATTTATGAATTCTAAACTATAAATAAAATTGTGTTAATGTTCCTTCACACTCACATACGTACGGATATTGAATTGATCAATTTAGTTTTTCAGAGTGATTGAAACCAAAGGTCCAATATGATTCTTTTGTTTTTTACAGATTCGGGTTCATTTTTCTATTTTATGTTGACTAAGCTTAATATGTAGTTTGCGTCCTTTAATATGTATTCAAAATTTTGAAATATAATGTTGGACAACGTAGTTGTATCCTTTCTGGTATATGTATCTACACGTGAACCTCATTAAACAATTATATGTATCTTGGTCATAGTTCTAAGAATTGATAATCTTATTGTTATGATTTTGATGGATTTATTTTGAATCGCTTAATGGTAGTTGTAACGACCTAAAATCCAGTATTTTAGATTCGTTGAATCGTCACTTAGGTTTTAAAAAGAAAGATTCGGTTTATTCTTAAATCAAATAATAACATCTCAAAATCGACAGCGGAAGTCTCAATAATGAAATTCTAGCATAAGTCTAAAAATGTTGAACTCATAAAAATAAAAATCTAAAGTATTGTGTCTCTTGCAATTACCAAGTCTACCACTTGATTTGCTTCGCCTTTCACCTGTGGGGAAAAAGGAAGGGGTGAGCTACGCGAATAGCTCACTGAAGTTGCAAGACTATAAACCTCGTCTCCGTACCCAACATAGACAATCAAA